ACGTATCGCAGACAGGTGAACTGATTTTTACATGTGTATATATAATATATGATTTTTTACTGCTGTATCTTTTCAGGTTTCTTAAGTTTTTGTTCATATTAAGCTTTTCACTGTAATTGATTTAAAAAAAAAATATTTAAATACAAAGTATGACCTATCAAGTATACTTTTTCATTGTCCATACAACACCACTTAAACAGTATTAAAGCTAGCAATTTAATTTGATGTCCATTGGTTCAGTTTACATTTGACACATACTGCAGCTATTTAATTTATTTAAAGCTATTTATTTTACGTAATGGAAAGGCAGATAAGGCTGGCCCATGCCCCTGTGCTGGTAATGTGTGTGTTTGTCCTACTGTCTGGTTTTTAACATGAAAAGGGCTTGGTGTCACTAAAGAAATATTTGCATTTCCTATGTTATCCAGGGGAGCAGAATACGTTTCTGCAAGGGAATGGATGAGGATCTGTTTTGAACTGCTCGAGTTGTTAAAAGCTCACAAAAAGGCTATCCGAAGAGCCACAGTAAACACTTTTGGCTATATTGCAAAAGCGATCGGGTAAGTGTCTTTGTCCTTATGATGATCTGAATTTGTAGTCCCTTGTTTAGAATGGTGGTGATAGCAAGTTTTATTGGGAAAATAATCATGTTTTTTTTGTGGGCTTTTTGCATTTAAGTTGTAGCTCTTTTTCTATTAACATGGATGTTTTTGTATTTGGCTGTTATCTGTAGGAATCTAAGTATATTCAGTTATACTTTTGTAACATGCACACAACTTTCAGAAGCTGGATTTGTAGGAGTTTAAACGCATACAACACTTACGCTTTTATGAGTGCTTTTATCTAATACCTGATTGAATCAGCTATTAAATAAAAGTACCAAAAAGCCTTGCTGAAGCACCCAATCTATACAGATGTTGCAGAGCCAGGTCAAACTAACACACTGCTTCTTCTGGTAAAGTGCTTTTTCCCCTGTATCTGTCAGCAGCCAAAGCATTCTGTGGTGTAGGCCTAGCCAGTCCTCCAGGCATCCAGTGCTGTATTGCTCCCCTCACCTCTCTCCACTATTTCAACTGGCTGTTCTAGTATGCAGCCAGAATTCTGCTGTCTGTTTTCCTCTTGTTTGCCTTTTGTAATCAGTAAGCTTCCTTGTGCTGCTTGTTCAGTAAAAGCTATCTTTTCATCAACCAGTTGTAGCCTCACTCCTTACTCCACTGCCTCCCCTCCAGTAGTTCCCTCCAGTTTGTCAAGCAGGCACACTGCAGACTTTGGTCAGTTGCAAGCTATTGAAGTTGGCTGAACTCATGTTTAGGAGAGAAGGGAAAGCAGAAAAGTTAAAACACTACTCCCAGCCACAGGTCACCCACCTCCTGTTAACCATGAAGCATGAGTGCAAACATTCTGCTTTACTTCCCTACTGAGAGGCATTCTGGCCTGGGTGCTCAGTGCCCTGGTATTGGTGCTACAGTAGTGAACCAGGTCTCTGTCAGTGAGATTTTGAGGAGAGTTGACTTCATACTTGTGTTGGCATCATGGGTCAAACACAGATACGGTATAGCTTTGTGTTTGTTGAAAGTAGAATTAGTTATGGCCTTCTTCCTACAGTGACAGTACTATTCTAGTACAATTCTGAGTTCACAAATAGTACATAAAGGAAAATGTTTTGTTTGAAAGAAATAATGTTCTTCCTATATTTTTTTTCATGCAATTTTGCTATTTAACTCATAATTTTACACCCTTCTTAAGCAAAGTACTAGTAGATTTAGAGTTTTAGTAAATAATTTTTTGCTGTTTATTTAATATTGTTAACTGAATCTACTATGACTGTAGAATGCAGTTTAAGTAAATCAGTAGTCTGCATATTGTTAGAATTATTAGTTATCCAAATATGTCAACTGCTAAAAGCAAGTGAGGCAAGCTATTGTGAATCTTTATGGTTGGGGGTCCTTCTTGGGATGTAACATGTGATCCACACAATTCTGCCATGCATGTGTAGCAGGCCAGGAGGCACGAGGTGCGACTGTGAGAGAGCACATTAGATCCCACTGTGTTTTATTGCCAATACAAGGGGAGCCCAGGATCAGCTCCTGTTTAAAGCACACCAGCAAGAAGGAAGCTCCCCAACTTGGAAGCATCCTTAGTTGAGGAGCTTCCAGCCTCAGAGGCACCCAACACACCACTGAGGCTGGGCGACACAGCTACTACGATCTTGTGGTCTCGGGGGTGCACGAAGCCTCCACTGCTGGGAGATAGCAGCTGCCATGATTTTCCAGTATCGGGTTTGCATGAAATTCCAAATGAAACTGTGCGGGGGGCTGCCAGGATCCAGAGTCAGTAGCTGATAGGGCTGAGAATCACCTTGGCTGCATGACTCTCATCCCCAGCTGGGCACGGTGCACCCCTGTGGCTTGGAGTCCTGCTAGCTGGCAGGAGTCCTGGCCACAGGAGAAACCTGCTACACATGCAAATTAAAGCTTGATGGCAATGAGCTCTAAAATTAGTACACATCTTCAAGGTTTACCTGTAATGTGTAGAGGGGGGTCTTAGTTATGCAACTTCCAAATCATCTTGGCTTATTAACAGATCCCTGGTTGAAGTGCATGGTCTATCCATTTGTTGACTGATTTTATTTTATTTTATTTTATTTTATTGGCTAAGTCCATCCCCTTCAAATGAGTTGACAGAAGTTTCGCATTTTCTCTCTTCCAGACCTCATGATGTACTGGCTACATTGCTAAATAACTTAAAAGTACAGGAAAGACAGAACAGAGTATGTACTACGGTAGCAATTGCTATTGTGGCTGAAACATGCTCACCTTTCACAGTACTGCCTGCATTGATGAATGAATACAGGGTTCCAGAACTGAATGTCCAGAATGGTGTATTAAAATCTCTTTCCTTCCTGTTTGAATACATTGGCGAGATGGGAAAAGACTACATTTATGCTGTTACACCATTGCTTGAAGATGCTTTAATGGACAGGTCAGTATACTTATACTCCACTTTCATGTTCCCTGTGTTTTTAAATTCAGGTCCACCCTGTGCCTAGCTCCTTAACAGCAAAAAAAATACCCATGGACACTTGCTGTTTTTTTCAAACACACCCACAGATTTATCTGTTGCAGATCAATCAGATTACACTCCTTTTATGGTAATACCATAGTAGATTAGAGTCTTATAAAAACAAGATCATTATAGAATGTATAAACCAGGATTAACCATGTAGGAATTGTTTTTTTTAATCTGATTTTTTGTTACTTAATTTGCTGTTGAGCAGAGCTTAGAGCAGTCATTTTTTTTGCCATAAAACTTGCAGAAATTGTGTTAATTTACCTGATTTGCCCTGTAGTTTCTCTGCCTTATGCTGTTGGCAGGTGAGTGTAGAACATAAAAAAGTGTAGTGATACTCTTCTAAGTTTCAAGAAAGTTTATGAATATTGATAGTAATTTGTTTTCAAATAGATTTCTGACTAATTACACTGTGTTTTCTTTGCAGAGACCTTGTGCACAGACAAACAGCCAGTGCAGTTGTGCAGCATATGTCCCTTGGGGTATATGGATTTGGCTGTGAAGATTCACTGAATCACTTGTTAAATTATGTGTGGCCCAATGTGTTTGAGACATCACCTCACGTCATTCAGGCAGTTATGGGAGCACTGGAGGGCCTGAGAGTTGCTATTGGACCATGTCGAATGTTGCAGTATTGTTTACAGGTATGTTTTCACTTTAGTCCGAGGCAGAGAATTATCCAAAGTTCAACAGAAGGGGAGAAATCTCTTGGGGATAATGGGCATCAGATTGGATATGTTTGCTTTGTATCATGAGATTGTGCTGTAATGTAATAGGTACCACTAAAAGTAAGCTATGTCATAGTTCAAATGCTGTATTCAGTTCTGGGGCCTCTTCTTACCAGAAACACACAGATAATGCAGTGATTAGTGAAGTGAAGCAAAACTAACTACATGGGGAGGGTAGAAAGGAAAAGATGGCCAATTTGAAGAAAAAAATACATTTAGTTAAAATAACTTGACTACCACACTACTATGGGCTAATCATCTTACAAGTTTTTGTAATGAGATTATTCCTATTCCTTAGTATTTAACATAGTGCAAAGAGGTATAAGAAAAAATAACGGGTTAAAACTAAGAAATAGAATTTAGTCTAAGTATCAGGAACACATTGACTGGAATTAGTACTGGACTGTGGAATAGTCTGTCGTCCCTTTGTGCACTTAAGATAGGCCTAAGAAACCATATCCTGACAGAAATGGGTTTGAATATTATTAGTTGTCTTTTTATTAGAGGTCTCATTGCTGCATAATCAGATAACAAACAAACACTGCCCTGGAGGGTCATAGTCTGAAAGACACAAAATAGATGACAAGCAGGAGATGTAAATAAACAGACAGATGAATATGCGTGAAGACTTGGCTCTGTTTTATTGGTTACATGTTTATATATCTAATTAGAGATATAAGTAGGGTGAGGAATGGCAGAAAAAGGAAAGTGAGTAGGAATGAGGGAAAGTAGAGGGAAGGGAAGGGAAGGGAAGGCCTCTCTTGGCTATTCTGATTTTTACCTTCGATTTGTAGGTTGACTAACTAAAGTGCTAAATAGTGGATTAGTACCATCTCAGAGCCTAAAAATTCAACCTGTTGTATGAGGGTAATAGAAATTTATCCCTTGTATTGCACTTTGACATGTTCCTCAAAGGAGAAGCTGAATAGCATTATCCCCTACTTTATAGATAAGGAAGATCAGAATCAGGCAGGTGATGTGACTTGCATCAGGTCACACAGCAAGTTAGCAGAGCCATCAGTAGAGCTCAGGTCTCTTCATGTCATGTGCTGTCATGCATATGGGAGTAGTTGTTTCTTTAACTTTTCTTTAAAAATAAATCAGAAATTCATTCAGTGGATTTCACCCTGAAGGAATGATAAGGTTCTAAGGTTGCAAGGTTTAAGTACATTACTCTGGAATTAAGTTTCTTAATTTCACATTTGTTTTGTTTCCCCAGGGTTTATTTCACCCTGCCCGGAAAGTCAGAGATGTTTATTGGAAGATTTATAATTCAATCTATATTGGCTCTCAGGATGCTTTGATAGCACATTATCCACGAATCTACAATGATGAGAAAAACACCTACATTCGTTATGAACTTGACTACATCTTATAATCTTCTTGTTCATTTGTTTGTGTTCTAATGCACAGCTGTTCCATACTTAAACTTGCTTCAAATTTGGTGATGTAAAATTTTAAAATGTTGCAGGTCAGCAGT